AAATAAACATCGTAATTCTGATAGACGGCTCTTGCCAGCGAGACTCGCGCTTTCTGTCCACCAGATAGGTTGATTCCCTGCATCAGTCATTCAATAGTTTATAAATTCATCAGATCAAATTGCTCACGTTTAAAAAACCATTGAAGTATATAGTGAAATAAATTCAACCAAAAATACATCATAATTTTCTGCTCAAACAATTTATCTCAAATACAAATAATTTGACTCAAACAATTTGTCTCAAATACGTATGCACATACAAACCTTTTCACCAATTTCAGTTGAATCACCCTGTGGCAATATCGCAATATCAGGCCTTAACGCGCACGCATGAACCACACTATTGTAAAATTTCTCATCGAATCTCTTCCCAAATGTGATATTCTCCCGAAGCGTAAGATTGCGAATCCACGGTTGTTGAGGGACGTAAGCTAATCGTCCATGTACGCCAACATACCCACGAAGTTTCTCCATTTCACCTACATATAACAGTAGGTTAACACCATGACTTGCGACTACATCATCATATCACAACATCATCCGAATACCTCACATGAGATGAAAGAAAATACACGTCTAAGAGCAAAATTGTTTGGAAATCGAATTAAAAATCAGAAACAAGGATTACGCGAAAGAAAATTGAAAAACATCCGAAAAAATCAGTCCAGGGCGCCGAATCCACTCTCACGTACCTAGTAGGGCATTCAGAAGGCTGCTTTTACCACATCCCACCTTCCCAACTACAGCTAACAGTCGGCCTGTTGGCACCTTCAAGTTGATTTCAGTCACCATCGAGTTGAGCGCACTCATATCATTTGTTTCCCAAGCAAACGTCGCATTTCGAACTTCGATCGCATTTTTTTCAGCATTTTCTGAATAGAAACATTGAAAACGGTCGATATTTTTTCACATTTGTTACTGAATTACTGAAAGCAAAAATTACTGAAATACCCGATAAGTTACTGAAATCAAAAATTTGTGAAATTGAATTGCCTCGATCAATTATTCAATGGTTTTTCCTAACTCTTTCAAAACGTCTACTGATTTCCAGTGAAATTTGTTCATTTGAAAGCTACCGTCTTTGCGTTGAGGTGCCCGATCAATGGCCATTTCGTTAAGCTCTTCGGCTACCAAGAATTCTTTTAGACGTTTATTTGCGACAAGAGCCTGAAAATTTTGTTCTTCTCACTTATTCGTTTTTCAGAAAAGATGTTATTTCACTCTTCCTCTTCACTTCTGCTCACCTTTCTATTCTCAGAACATGTACTGACTGAAACTGCAAAATTGCGCTACGCTCACTTTAGAGCGGTTGATCTGTCCCCCATCTCCAATCAGTTCAAT